CTCCACAAAAGCTTCTAGGAAGATATTTCTTACTGTGTTTTGCCAAATGCTATATATCAACACTTGATGGGACCAATGTTTCCCTTATGTAATGCCACACCATTATTGGCTTGTATTACACAGCTATGTTTGCTGTAACAAAATTTTAAAAAACTACATATGAGAACGATGCTTATATTTTGTCTAAATGAAAGACACCAACATTCCCTCACCATCTCCTTCTTGGGCAATTAATAGGTGATTAAGCTCCATTGCAGGCAGTGGACCACAGGGAGCCAATTGATCTGACCTTTGGCCTCTTACTCTGATGGAAGGGGAGCTTGAGGGTCAGGCCTGTAAGGGATACCCTCTTTATCCCTCCCAAGAACAGGAGCTCAAAGCTAGGAGAGGCACCCAGCCTGGCTGCGTGGGTCTCTTGGGTCCCCCCCACTCCACCAGCATCACATTCACATGGTCAATTGGAGCCAAAGAGCAAACACCTCTGAGGTCCTGTGTTGCTTTGACCTGAGCTCAGTATCTTTGATTTTCCCAGGGGTATATGAATGTTTGTTACCAACATAGACTTAAAGAAACCAACAGAAAGACAATATTGAAATTAAAAATATAAACACTATTAGATTTGAGTCTGACTCTGGCACCCCCAGCTTGGGGATCTGAGCTGATCCTTCACTCAGTCAAGGACTTGTAGGGGATTTTGGGGAAGAGGACTGTGTAATGCCAGTTTTCTTTGAGGTATCTATTGAAGTCAGCACTATTGCATTAAGCTTACTGGTCTTCTTAAGGGCACCTTTTCATCACAGCCACACACACACACACACACACACACACACACACAATCACACACACACACACTCCTCCTTTTAAGTTGAGGTATTGTCTTTGACAGCATTATAACAGTATCATTCTGCTCCCACTGTGAACAACAAAGACAACTAACGCCAAATCCTAGAATGCCGCAGTCTGTGTGTGTGTGTGTGTGAGTGTATGTGTGCGTGTGCACGTCTGTGTGTGCGTGCACGCTCTTTAAAGCAATGCTAATGGGCCCTAAGAAGCATTAAAGTGACCCCTACTGTAACAAAAGAGTTAATAATCCGTTTAGAAAACAATCAGATCCCTTGCCATGAGAAAAGCCCCCCACTAAGTCTTTCTGTAAAGAAGAGGAGGAGGGAGTTCACCTTTAGTTTCAGTCAGCAATCTTGTTGAACGTCACTTTTTTTCACGGCTCACTCTACAGGGAATGATGGAACTGTATTTGACGGCAGTTCTCAACCACAGCGGGCTAATAAAAAGACAACCTGGTTAAGTTTCACTTACAGAGCAACCATTTCATCTTATTCAAAGTGACCCTTCCCGAAGGTCATGGTTTGTTATCAGCTCCATCCACTGTAAATAGGTCCCATTGGACTTCTAAAGGAGCTATTAACAAATAAACACCGGCACTCCCGCTAATTGCTAATGATAGCCTCTTTGTCTGGTGTTTCCCCCCGGGGTTCAAATGTAGAAATGTCAAAAAAGGAAACATTTCCAGGTGACAGGCTCTCAGGTCATTCAGCCATGGATATAATTGATGATAGCTGCCTTTTACTCAATAAAAGACATCTCCCATTCTGCGTGTCAAATATCATGGTGATTAAAAAATGTCAAAGAGTGATAAAATTAGTCCAAGCTCAGTGTGAGGGAATATGAAACTTTTGGTAGCTGAATGTATTACCCCAGGCTGGTAGGCTTATCTGTTATTCACTGGAGTGATCCATCTGTTTTAACATGAGGTCAGAGCTGAATCTATCACTGCTTATCTTTACTGTCAAGTAGGTAAAGACAGTTTTTTTTTTCCTCCTTTATCTCCTCTGCTTGTTCCTCCTCTACATGTGCTCTCTCTTCTTAGTCTACTGGGAACTAATCACAGAGGTTGAGAAAGCACATTTGTTGAGCTAAATAAAACAATGATAGATTACGGTGGCAGATAAGTAGAGCAGCTTTGCTTCTTAGCAAAGATATCATCTCATCAAGTGCCATTTCCTTTGCTTTAGGTGATACTTCCAGTTTGATCTGATTCATTTTGGGGAAATTATCGTCTACCTGGGAAAAAAGGATTGGAAGACCAACTTAGCCTGTGTGTACGGACTGTATAGAGGGATAAATCATGCTGTTCATCAGGGCAAACACCTTTCGATCATCTTGGGTGTACCTATGAGCTGTAGACGTTCATTTCTATGGTACTTTAATCATGATGTAGGGGGTTCTGCTTATGTGTTTTTGGCCACATTAACTGCAACATCAATATTTCTCACTGGTGTTAAAGTCAAATCCAAAATACTCCATCCAGAGCTTTGAGATTTTCAGACATGTTTTAAGCATCCATCTAAAGGTTGTTTCATTCCAGGGTGTTATGTGGAGCAGGAATTACCTCCAAATATTATCGAGAATAATTGTTGTGCCCAACTTGATTGAAAAGCCTGGAGCAACTTTGGAGTTCCTCGAGTTTGACTCTTGCTGCTTTTTTACTGTAAAAGGCATAAAAAAATATGACGTACCAGTACCAGTACCTTCATGCCAGTATCAGCCCTGGATCAAACAGTGCAAATCAAAAACTGTCCAAATAACTGAAGAAAGTTTTAGTAACCGCAGAGCAGTTATTACATACAAATCAAACCTCCTTCCTCCAGTCTTCTTGAGAAAGGATACTCAAGGTCTTACACTCGAAAGAAACCAAGATCATTCAAGCGGTGTCTGTGATAACCATGAATAAGCCAATTATTTAATCACTTTTGCATCATTTATCCTTTGTCGGGGTGTTAGCAAACAAAAAAAGAATCATCTTTGTGATGCATCTCGGTGTCTTCATTTACTCCCATCAAAAATTACCCAGGAGGAAATGCCCAGTGCAAGTGGATTGTGGGACTTTATTTGAATGTTTCCTGCGGTAAGTTATTCCTTTGTCTAGGCCGAGCTAATAGCAGGGAATGGGATTCAAATAGAGTCAAGCTGCCTCCTGAGATCCCTCAATCCACCGTCGCCATAAAAAGAGGTCTGAGGCCAGTCTAAATATTTGGTAGTCTTAGCAGGTTCATGTTAAAAGAAACACACACACTCGCACACACACATACGCACTCACGCACACACACGTGGTGAATGCACAAGCAGGCCAAGGCTGTGAAGTTGAATGGCATAGCTCAAAGCCTTCCTCCCCCTATCCCTGCCTCTTTCTCTCTAAACCGCCAAACCATTCTCCCCCTTTCTCCAGCTCAGAGGAATTCATTAACTGCCTCTCCACAGAGACACTATGGAAATCAGGCAGCTACAAAGGCAGAGAGAGAGGGAGACAGAGAGAGAGGGAGGAAGAGAAGAAGGAGGGGTGGAGGTAGCGATGGTGGTGAATGGGGCTATATTATCCTATTAGATGGTGGATATGTCTCGTTTCCCTCCCCTGTCATGAGAAAACATTAATTTTAAGTGAGAAAGGAGACAGAGGGAGGGGGAGAGAGGATGGCGAGGGAGAGAGAGAGAGGGAGAAATAGTGAGGGTCTTTAACATTGCTCTTTTATCGAGCTGAAATAGAGAGTCCCTTGGCTCCATTTACCTTGGCAATGAGGATAGAGCCGCTCTCCATGAATGCCATTTAAAATGCCATGGAGATTAAGCATCCTCTCTCTCTCTCTCTCTCTCACACACACACACACACAACAGCAGCAGTGGTGGTGGCGACAGCGCTCATAATAATATGTGTTTAGGAAAACAGCTTTGAGATTCATGAGTAAAGCCCTCTAGGTGCCAGCGCTGAGGAGGGAAGAGAACGGGGAGAGAGACAGTGAGGACCATCACTTAGCCAGAGTGGGCTTTAAGCACTGTAATTAAATCATTAGATCCTCCTCCCTCCCTCTCTCCCTCCCTCCCTCTCCTCCACCACCCCTTCCTCTCCTCTCTCTCTCTCCCTTTCTCTCTCTCAGCTCAGCTCAGCTCAGCCAAGCTCATCAGGGGCTCCAGAGTGAAATGATGAATCTGTATTTATGGGGATGGAGTAATTACACAGCTAACCTCTGAGGGAACCCAGGAGGGCCAAAGGGCCACTGAGCAGGGCGCAGGGTGCTCAACCTCATTAGTACTGCTTGAGTGTATGTGTGTGTGTGTGTGTGTGTGTGTGTTGGTATCGGAAAGAGTGTGTTTAAGAAGATGTATTTGTGCTGAAAGAAAGTGACACAAAGCAGATAAACCTGTCAGTAATCTAAGACGATCATTTCAATTTCACTTTTTAAAGACAGAATGATTTTCTTGATTGACTTATCTTGACTTTATAAATTAACCCACTTTTTCTTACTACACAAACTGTAAACAACCTGTAAGCAGGGCCCAGCAGAGCAGCCTATACAGTAGTCCATTCTTCTCCACCAACATCTGTCATTTTCCACACCACAGCTCCTCTGTGCTCCATATCTCTGGTATCTCTTATCCTCCTCAATCTCTGTCATTACCTCCAGCCTCCTTTATCTTCGCTCTGAAAATATGCTCCACTGACTTCCGTCGATAATCACGGAGATTCCTCTCGGATTTGGCTGACCATATCGATACCTCCCGGCCCATCTGCTAAACAGAAAAGTCGGAGGATCAGCTGTCATGGACGAAAAATGACACCTACCATATCAGAGTAAAATATGGTCATATAGGAACATTATTATTATTATTATTATTATTATTATTATTATTATTAATGCAGATAATGATATTTTTTTGCATACAAACAGGAAATGACAATAACCTTTTAAACCTTTTAGTGCACGTGTTGATGTAAAAACTGACATCCTATCACGCACACACTTCACAGGTTGTTATACAGACAATCAAGACTAAAGACTATAGACATTAGATCACACACACACGCACTCACACGCACGCATACGCACACACACACACTCTTACACACACACGACCTAGGCTAACCAATGCACTAATCGCCTGCCCCGGGCATAGGAGGAGCTTGGTGCTTAAGTAGGCTGCCAATCAGTCAGTCAGCTCCACATCCAGAAGCTCCTGCGGCCAGACGCACGCATCACTCCACACTCGAGGTGCCAAACTCCGGCTCTGATACAATTCCGGGTCGGTAAAGTGGAGAAGCTTGACAACTTGCAAAGGGACACTCTGGTGATTTAGACAGCCCCCCTTCATCCTCTTCCTCTTACTTCTGGGGATTCTTACTTGCTCTTTTTTTTGCTGCCTGCTCCTTGCTGTTGTGTGGCTGCCTGTGACTTTGACAGAGATTTACTACACTACTGCGCTCCTTGGACATGTCTTTCCCTCAGCTGGGATACCCCCAGTTTCTCAGTGCTTCCCACGAAGTGTACGGGGGTGAGCGGCCGGCCTCTGCCCGGGAAGGAGGCACTGAGGGCGGGGTGAGTTCGTCCACCACAGCCGCGGCTGTCGGCTCCATGCTGGGGATGTACGGGAGCCCATGGGCGCCTCATAACTACAGTGCCTTTCTGCCGTACAGCGGAGCCACAGACCTCGCTCTCATTTCCCAGATGGTGAGAGCTGATACTTGTTCACTGAAGACCGAAGCAGCTCAGATATTAATGATAGATTATCACCGCCTGTTTCTATTGCACAGTCATATTGATTATTACTTTAAACTGCAAATATTTACCTGATACCTTTATCTTTACAGGCGTTGAAACAATAAATATACAAAGTTTGAAGAGCTTATTGTCAATTAAAATATGAGATTGTGTGTGAATGCTTATAATTCACATTGTGGATAGAGAAAAATATCTGTCATGTAACAAGGAATTTATTGATTATTTGGGGTATTGTGAATATTATGAGTTGAAAAAAAAAACACACTTTACTCAAAAATTCATATCAAGAGTGACTCTAAATTGAAAGTGTGAAAAAATAAAAGACAATATTTAGAAAGACAAAGGAAGCTCTCGGCTTTCACGTGATCATTTATAAATTATACAATAAATTATTACACTGTTATGAAATATGATCTTAGCCTACTGAAATTATGTTGTTTTTACTTGTTAAAAAACGCAACAGAATGATTTCAATATACTGTTTTTGAAAAGACAAAACTTAAAATATCAAAATTATAGTTTGGGACTATTATCTTAATGAGGGATGTGTCTAATTCCTGCTTTCCCTATATAGCTTATTCAATTTTACATTGATAAGATATTACAACTAAAAAAAAATAGTTCATTTAAAATGTCAGAATTTATTTTCAAGACAACTCGCTCAACAAGTTGTCACCTCCCTCCCTTCAATAACTTTCCAGGGCTCCCAGTACGAGCTGAAGGACAGCTCAGGCTCCCACCCGGCCACTCTACCTGTCCACGCCGCACAAGGCTTCTATCCATACGGCCAGTACCCGTACGGGGACCCGTCGAGAGCCAAGACGGCAACAAGGGAGACCACCAGCACTCTGAAGGCCTGGCTGCAGGAGCACCAGAAGAACCCCTACCCCACTAAAGGAGAGAAGATCATGCTGGCGATTATCACCCGGATGACACTCACACAGGTGCTTGTGCTGGGCAATACTTCCTCTCAGAGTGATTGTTCGTGGAAATGATTTTTGCCTCATCTGAAATAATGATCGAGTCAGGTGGCTTGTGCTGTAAAATTAAGAAAACTGAAAGCCAAACCAAAATATATGATGAGATGAAAAGCGGGAACCGGGTGTAGAAAATGAAGCATGAGTTTTAATTTACAAATTCGCAATTTGATGTTGCTTTCGTGCATTTTTTGTGTGTGAAATGAACAAAATTGTAGTCTAATTTTTAATGCAAAATTATGCCTCTCCTCTACAGGTGTCTACGTGGTTTGCGAACGCCCGCAGACGCCTCAAAAAGGAGAACAAGGTTACTTGGGGGCGCAGCGCCGAGGACCGAGACGGCCGGATCTTTAGCAGCGACAATGAAGACGAGGGTGGCAAAAACGGGAGCGACGACGAAGAGGAAGATGAGGAAATAGATTTAGAAACTGTCGATATAGAAAGAACGGAAGAGCAGCGAGTAGGGGATGAGGACTCCGAGAAGGGAGAGGGGGAGGCGGGCCTGGCAGGCAGGGAACAGGCCGCTGTGCTGAAGAGCTCGGACAGCTCCAGGACGCTTTCTGTGGAGGGCCTGGGAGGAGTGGAGGCGGCTATTTCTCTAAACAGATCGCCTGTTGTCAAACTCGCTGTGGATCATTCTTCCAATAGACAGGAGTGTCACAGACCACCTCAGAGCAAACCCAAAATCTGGTCCCTGGCTGAGACCGCCACGGCACCCGACAGCTCCCACAAACCTTCCCCCCAGGCCCATGCGCACCATCCGGCTTTGGCCTCCGCTGGTCACCCGGCCTTACTCCCGGGTCATGGGATATATACATGCCAGATCGGCAAGCTGCACAACTGGGCCAACGCAGCCTTTCTCAGTGCCAACTCTCTTTTGAACATGAGGTCCCTCCTCGGTGGGGCGCCGGCCGGACACCTACCTCTGCATGGCACGGTACCGGTGGCGCGTCATGACGCACGACCAGCGGCTACGGGCCCCGGAACATCGGGTACAGAAGACGACAGTGATGTAGAGTCTTCGGGGAGCTTTAGTCCAAAAATAGATGGTAAGGATGCGTTTACTCTAATAACTCTCAATCATCTATTTGTCAACACAATTTATCAGGACACTGTCCTCCACAAATAATGTCCCGCCTGACACTCCAAGTTCAATCACTGCCAGTTTGAACAGAAAAAAAGGTCACATATATATATAAATATTTACTTTATGTCATTTTGCTTTTTACAGAAGAAGAGAGCGACCACAGGTCCGATTCCTTGAAGTCCCAATTCCAACTGATTACTGACAGGTAACCACAAACGTGTGAAATCAATTTGGCATCATGACATTATCAAATCCCTCCTACGTATCTTCAGCTAAATGAACCTTTACGCAGAGATAAACACTGTTACACCTGACTGAGCGGGATACAGAACTCATAAATCATGTGATTGAGTCTCCACTTTTACGCCTCGTCAGGCAGCAGGCTAATATATCCTGCGGGCCCCCCATCATCACCGCTGAGTTATCGCCACCTCTGTCATTTAAATAATCTGCCGCCATTTAATCACGCCCTCTCAGTGAATGTGGCTAATGCATGTCAAAGGAACCCTGATGGCAACATCAGGGAACTGGAGGGTAAAAAAGACATGAAACAATTTATCTAGTGTGTCTTCAGTTTGAATACATGGAGCTCAAAATTGTTTCCTTTTTTAAAATTCATTTGAAAACACAACTAAACAACAAAAACTGGTTTATTTTAACTGATTGTAGAAGCACATCATGTATCCTATATTCACTCTTCAACTTTTGCTTTCTTTTTTCGTGTTCATTCACTTTAGACCTCATCATGGGACAGCACCACAGCGAGTTCTGACAACGACATCCTGAGAAGACAAAGCGGAATAGAAAAAAAGAAAGAAGTAATTTTATTTAACAAAGAACATTTTAATGAAGGTTATTTTCTGACAGCCAAACCTGTTATAGTATTACTGTTTAGCTCTACAAACTACAGAGATTGTTGTTTTGTCACAGATTTGCTTGTATCTTTTTTGTCCTATGTTTTTGTTTTGTTTTTTTCTTTATATCTTCTGTTATAAATGGATACCTTGAAAATTGTAAATACAGGATATGAATTTGTCTTAAAGAATATATTTTTTGGGGAACTAAATAAATGTCCTTATAGTCATTTATTACTGGAGACAATGTCCCTGAACCTTATTCTAAACTCTATATGTGTTGTGTCGAAAGAAAAGAAAAGAAAGGAAAAGAAAAAGAAAGGAAAACAGCCACAAATGTGATCCAATTTCCGTCACCAAAATCTGAGTTTCAATTACAAACAATGATCATTTTGCATAAATCCAGGTGTAATCATCTTCGTAAAATTAAGAGTTATTTAATTGGAGATTGATAACAATACGATCATTTTCCTGAATGACTCTTATTCATAATACTTCTGCTCCTCATATTAAGTATGCACCACCAAAGAAAGGGAATAAAAAATATATCTTTGTATGAAATGATAAAAAATATGTTCTCGATTAATTATGATCACCTATAAATTGATGATTACAGCATACCCACCTTTAAACTGACCCCTTCCCCAGTGTATCTAGTTAGTTTTAAACTCCCCCTCCCTGCATTACCATGCTTTGTCAGCTGTTTTCAGGAAGAAGAACCTCGCCCTCATTGAAATCTGCTCTCTTGCCAAAACTCTAAGACCCATGCCAGCACCTTGGAAGCCACTGCAAATGCTGCAGAAATTGAAATTGAAGATTTCCAGGACCTTATGAACCTGCGCCTGTGCTTTCAGCCCAGGCCCTCTAGCTTTAATGTTGGATTATGCCTCCTCAGTGCCACAACTGCCGCCTCTGAAATATGGATCAGACGCCAGGAAAGGCCAACAGCCAGTATGGGGGCGGCAGCTCAGAGGGAGGTGAGGGAGGGGTTGTGTGTCACTCTGAGCCATCCTTGACGTTAGCAGGCCAAAAGAGAGGATAGAGAGAGGACGATGGGGGGCCTTGTGGCTCTGGTAGAAGTGAGTGTGTTTTAGAGCTCTATTTACAGGCTTGGTTTAGTGAAACATTTATGCTGATCATTTAGGGACTTTGGTCTCTCAAGGGGCCTAAACTGGCAGGTGTTCAATCACACAATTTATACATAGAAGCAAATAGAAAATTTGATCCAAAAACCTTACTTAAGACCTTTTAAAAGTGTTGACTCTTCAACACTTAAATGCTGACAGCCGACTCAAAGATGGTTGTAACTTTTTGATTATTTTCTTGTTAAATTTCAGGGGGTCAATTGATGCCAAAGACACATATATTTAGTATTTAAGGTTGCAGGTAAAGATCAAATTTACCGTATAAATTTGATTAAATCTGGGTAAGGTTATTTGATCTGTAAGACACCTACAACTTATCAACTATCTATCAATAAAATAAGGCTACTAGTGCTTTACTTTTTTGTGATTCCCGCAAAAAAAATAGGATAGCGGAGTGTTTTTTAGTGCACGGTAAAAAACACAGTTAAATGTTTAACCATGATATGCAGTGACAAGCTCAGGGCCGCAGGTTTCATGGACTTGGAGGAAAACTCAATGCTGCCACCTCACTCTCAGAGGAAGTAAAGCAGTGTGCTCTTTGTGGAGTCTCTGCTCCTCAAAGTCCACTATTATAATCCACCAAGAGAAAAATAAAGGAATGCAAACAGTGACAATTTCCTTTTAAAAACCCTAAACCAACAAAATTATGTCAAGTTTTACCTGTTGTTATTGCATCATGAAAACTTATACCTCCACATTTTAGTTTTTTTTTATGAAATTCATACAAACTGAGGACATCCCATTCAAACTTCCTTTATCTATCTTCTGCTTATCTTGGCTGGGGTCACAGGGGTTGGACTGGAGCCTTCCCCAGCTGACATTGGGCAAGAGGCAGGTGGACATGTTCTATCACAAGTCTGGGACCCCGTTTAATACATTCTGCTACTTCAAAATAGAGTAAACAAAGCACTTTCAAATGCGTTAGTGTATTTTGGAATACATCACAAGCTGAAAACAGTTCATCTAAACAGGCCAGAAAGGTAAAAAACGTTTTGTACCTGACAAGTTTCGGCTAGTTTGTCTCTGCAGCCTTCATCAGAGGTGTCACTTGATGTTGGTGTGATGTTGTCTGTGATGAGTTTTAGATTTACCGTCTTGTAAATTTAGCATAAACAGGCCGAATTAACCTCTTTAGTATGAAAACAGGTTAGTCTGCCCAGAAAAAAAATTATGTGAGGCACTTCAAATAACACTATATTGTCATGTAATAAATTAGTCATTGTCTTCCGAACTCAAATTTACATCTAAATTTTGGTCAGTACAAAGTAATACATATTATTGTAGAAAAATGGAGAATAATTAACATATATTTCGTAAATATAAAGGGCTTTCTTGCTGAGATTAAAAGGCATCCTAAATAGTAATTGTTACAGTTTTTTCTTGTATGGATTAACACACACACACTCACACACATACGCACACAAAGCAAAGGTTTCAGAAGTGCTTCCAGGTGGATCTCAACTTGCGTCATCCTATTGTTTCAACCATCTTTCAAATTTAGCTTCACATTATTAGATAGAGTTAGTATTTACTTCCTGATCAACGTCACTGCAAGAAAATGAAGAATCATATATTACAGCCAAAAAAATGAAAGAATAATTTACAACCTCAGAAATCCAAATAAGGTTTGGTAAATATGGAGTCGACTTTTTGTAGCTCTTACAACACGGCAGATTTTCTCGCCTTTTTCAAAGTTTTATTTCTCAACTCATCCATCCGTTCATCCGCCTATACTTCTTTTCACAAAGAGGGAAAGAGTCAGAAAACAAGAGAAGGACGACTCTAACTCAAGTCTAAAGAGAGAAAATGAGAGAGAGAGAAAGAGGAAGAGAGATGATGCAGTGAGAGCTGTCATTGATGTGAGAACAGCATGGAGGGACGCCAGACACTTGAGGCCATTTTTACTTCCTCTGCCAACTCTGACAGACTGCCATCAGCACCGCTGAGGAGAAGAGTAGCCACTCTTTCTCATATACACACACTTCAGTTTTTCTGCACTTCATCCCAGCCAGATCACGCTACTGTTCTTCCAAGTACCCAAACAATATGTTATTCTTTCAAAGTTGGATAACAGTGAGCTTAGCATGATGGGGCTGAAAATGACATCAAATGGCTGTTTAATCAGTTACACAGTGTGCCCAAAACATGTTTTGTTATGAAAGGAGAGGAAAAAGTGAACAGATCCAAAATATGATTAGTGTTTTCTGGCGGATGCTGCCGCAAACTTCTTCAGAGTTTCAAGTTTATGCTTCATGTTGGTTGTTTGTCACCCAACTGCCCATAAACTTTTCAAAAACAGAACTGGTACAGACTGTGAAAAGCCATAGGTGTGGAAAGTAACCATCACTAATGCTTGAAATAACACTCTCTCACTCTCTCTCTCTGTGGAGTGTATAGAGCTGTATCAACCCTTCAAACTCTCAGTGTGAATAGAGTCTTTATTGGCTCTTTGGTATTCTGATATGGACCCTTTGGTGAGCTCTAATCCCCATTAAAGAGGTAGATTATGGAAGGGATTTATCTTTGATTCTTCTGTCCCACTGCTCTTTTCTGTCAGCACCTCTCTCCAACTATCTCTCCCTCGTTCTTTTCCTTTCTGCTCCTCTGTCTGACTTGATGGAATGGTCAGGGAATGAACAATGATTGCCGCCATGTGTCATCCCCCCTCACACTCCCGCCTCTAGCCATCCTCCCTGTGATTACGGCCACATGTGAGGGCCGTGGTTGCCTGAATAGATTTGTTAAAGGGCCCCACTGGATGATAGAGGCCCAGGCTCCAAAGCTTGGCCCTCATGTGTAGATCTATCCCCTTTCCAAGCACTCTGCATGGGGGTGAGTTTCCTGCCAGCCCCCTGAAGCCCCAACCCGCTCTCCACCCCTCCTATCCCTATCGGCTTCCCCGCCACACAGAGATAATCAGGCTTATGTAAAGACGACTTGCTCTTTTGACAGTCATCAACTCATCAGTGATCCAATCAAGCCCAAATCCACCATTGTTCAATACTGAAAGTGTCTCAAATCCGCTTGTGCAGGAGAGGGGGGCAAGGCTCTTTATCCTGCCAATCACTCCTGACATTCCTGCCCCTGTTGCCATGGCCGGGGGTCAAAGGTTGAGAAAACAGGGAGCTTGAGCTGACTTGGGGAGAATAGTGGGGCGCTAGAGGAGGATCTTTTCGTGCAATGGCCCCATTGGTCAGCCAACACAGGGGGTAAATGTAGACAAGTTAGGACTCTATAGCCCCACTGAGAGGGCCAGCCGGACAGAATGAGGTGTGGGTCGGGTCAGAGAAAGAAAGAGAGGTGATTAGGCACAGACGGGGCAAGGGAAGAGAAAGAGGGCAAGAGAGGTGCGTGTGGAGAAAAGAGGAAAGGAGGGGGTCAGGGAGGGAATATGTTTGATCGCCAAATAGGCTTTACAGAGCTTGACCTTAAGGGGCAAAGAGAAGAAAAGGTCAACACAGCGAAAGGCGCTGAAAAGAAGCAATGAACATGCCAGTTCATATTTTTAAAGAATTCGAGATGGAAAAATTAAGATGGAAAACAGCTTCAAAAGTCGTCTACATCAGGAGATGAGAACAAGCTGATAGGAAAACAAAAAGTACAGATGTGTGTGTGTTTGTGTGTGTGTGTGTACATGCTCACAGCTAAGCTACAATTTGAAATGGAAATGTACCTCCCACTGCAATGAAGCTAATACATGTCATTGCAGGATAAGCCGGGCACTGGGTTAAATCTGTTGTAATGTCGTCAAAAGAATAATTGTCTGTATGCAATGTATACGTAAGTGAAAATATCATAGGGAATTTACGCCATTCACTGTTCCTCCAGGGATTAGTGGCATTAAGCGTTTGCACAAAAGCAAAGTATCAAAACTCATGAGTAATTCAACAAGCTCACAATTCTGAGTTGACAAAGTGCTGCTTCTTAGCCAGCGTTTATTGTGGCGCTGCAGCTGCACCAGCTCCCGTACAAATAGAAAACACTGTCAGAGCTTTTTCAAGGAGACAAATTTGATATACAAGGAAAATACACACAACAAATACTATGAAAGGGTGGGAGTGATAGGTCTTTTCTCTTGTTGTCTGTCTATTCATCGC